CCTACTTCCACACAAACCCGCTTCTTTATAAGCGGATTTCGATCTCAATGACTTATCTAACGCTCCCTTCGCTAGACAGAGGTACGAGATATGTAAATATATATATATCTGTAACTAACCAGTTATGGTTGATTGGATGATGAAGAGGGGAGGTTTTGTTCTTTCTTTCTTTTATGTTTTAAGTTAGCCGTAGAGCCATTTCTTGAAGCAAAGCTCGTTTCTGTGAAGCGTTTATCACTTGGTTGGTTTCTGCATTCTCTAGAACGTCCGTGATTATAGCCGCTGCATGACCCAGTGGCTCCTCCGCAGCTCTCTTTAGCATGAAAGCCTGTACCATTTCAATTACGGTAACAAAGAAAAACAGAGATCAGTATAAAAATACATCACAAACTTTTACAATCTTAGTGCGAACAGAATCCGGAATCTTAGTAAGGGAAGTGGAGTGAAGGACCTGGCCATGGTGCGATATGGTTAAGGTACATGGTTGCTGAAACCAAGGTTCTCCATCGATTTGCACAGGTAACGGCGCACAAAGTTGGATCTTCACTGATTGCCCTTGAGCTAGCCTTCTGGCACGAGACAACCCAACCTGAAGATGTCAAAAGGAAATTAATTGATGTTAGTTTTACAAGTAAGATAGAATGCAAATAGAACCTGTAAGATGATCATTATTGTACCTGAAGTTTCCCAAGGTGCCATGTTCCAGATATACTCACAACCTCTACTATCTTGTCGTGCATAGATTGCGGATCAAAATTTTCATATGTTTCATCTTCATTCTGCCATAAATCCACACCTCCCATGTAACTGCCTATGTTTGCAACAAGTACTCCTTCCGCATCCTTTGGAAATATAGCATAGTAGAGAAGTTATTAGAGCATTAATTATTGTTTATCAAGCGTGTTTGTCTGTAAGGTAGTTTTCTGTGACTCACCTCAGGAACCTCGATGTCAACACCATCCACCTCAACTCGAACTTGCCAAGGGAAATCTTCGAATGTTCTGTCCATTATACTCCTTGCACCTTCCCTAGCATAGAGGACTTTGTTCATAAACTGCACATGGTAAACATTCAGATATCAGTTTCATGGACTAAGGATAACAGTACAGCTAGTCTACAATAACGGCAGCTATACCCTGATCAAGAGAGGTAGAAAATGAAGTTTTCCTGAGGTTAAATTTTGATCGATTCAGGTTTATCTGGTTACCTGGCTATAAAATCTCTCTGGATTCTCCTCCCGTAGATTGTGAATATCAAGGGCGACCTTCGCATCACATCCAACCCCTGTTAAGATTTGCAAAGTTAGCAAAACTTTATAGGCTACAGGATTCAGGACAGCAGTCAAATCATTTACAATCTTAGATACACAATTGGATTGATTCAAACTAAACATCAAGCATGAAAAGAGATCCTACATATATCCTTAATTCCTTATGCAATTTTTTATTATTTAGATTTCAAATGCAAAGTACCATGTCGAATGCAAATAATTTTAACCCGGTGAAAGGTCCTCTTAAGAACAAAAAGTAAGACTAAGTTGCAAACAGAACTAAAGGAATCTGGAACTGACGTCAGAAAGGTTGGATATAAATGAACCAGCCCCACTAGTTCAAAGGTTAGCTACCTGAAAAATATAACTAAAATAAATATCAAAAGCAAAGCTTCGACACCTAGAGGCTTGGAATTTAACTAACCTATATAATTGTTCATATATTTCGGCGGCTGAAGTTGCTTTCCTTGTTGATTCAGAATCGATACTTTCCAACGATCAAGGACAGTGACTGCAGCATGCTCTATGTTCTGTAATACTGTACATAGGCCTCCCTGTCTCTCGACAGAACCCAAACCACCACCCCAATTCAATACCCGGGCTAGATCATTCCCGGTTCCTGCAGGTAGGATAGCAACAGCAGGAGGAGAGACAAAATTCTGTTTGTCTATGGCATCCAACACCCAACCAGCAGTGCCATCACCACCACAAACAAGAACTCTAAAATGAGGAACCTTCCTGAAGAGGAAAAGTCCAACTTCTGGTCCCTGCACTGAACTCAATTCACATACCTGCCAGAAACTGCTCCATCAATAAACTTAAAGAGTACAACAAGTTAAAAAAGCATTGAACTCTGTCACGTATTTTCAACGCAGAATACTCTACCTGCACAGGGTTGAGAAGAAGATGAAGGCGCTGCCTAAGAGAATCACCTCGTTGAGCACCACTTTTTTTGTTAATGAAAACCAACAACGGTCTTGCATCGGAAGGCAAATCAGCCAACTCATACTTAAGTTTCGATCTTAGTGCCTGATATTCATCCTTCTTACCAAAAGACCCGCTTCTTTTCACACTGGGCTTTGGTTCCAGCTTGCCATTACTGTCGCTGTCCCCATGAGAGGAACCCCCATTCATAAGGCTGCTAAAATTTTCCACCATGGCATGGGTGCCATTGACAACTGGACCTGTATCAGCTGTGCTTTCCGTCGATTCATCGCAGTTGCTACCACTATTACCTGTGTCAGCTGAAGTTTCATTAGCTTGCTTGTATTTTTTGCTTTGACTCCTGATACTGGCACGGACGGTTGATGCAAGTTCGTTTGCACCATGCGTGATTGAGCTCAGAAATCCTCCAGAGGGATTCCGTGTCAATTCCTTAACGTAGAGAGGGCACAAGATTAACCTTCTAAGTGGACCTAAATCACAAACGTCACCAGTTTCATTTGACATATTACTGTGACAGTCAACGTGCACAAGGCGTTGACACCACAAGCAGCACCATATAGGAGAACCCCCCAGAAAGGAGCTACTGCATGACTCGTCACAGTAGCTACAGAACGACGACTCATCAGGCTGATCAGCCCCTTCTGTCCACCGAACTGCCCACTGGTGCACCACATGCTCGTATCCAGTCATGGAGACGCACTTGCAATCTTTAGGCGCGCTTGAAGAACAACTAAAATGGGCCGCTGCTCCACAGATGGTGCACCTGTGGATAAAACTTTCTGAAGCCACAATTGCTTGAGATGGCGACATCGACTTCAAGCATACACAACAGTTCAAGTTCTTTGCACGACTTATAGAGTCGAGCTCCCAGCTATGTTGGGCAACAGGAACCTTATGCCGTGCCTTTGGATTTTTCTTTGACCTGGCTATGGCTTTCGTCCAACTTAAGTTGATATTTCTTCGCCATTGAAAAGCAGTGTAGGCTATGGTCAAAATACCAACAAGGGCAGCAACAAAGCAAGAGAACATTAACCCTCGAGACTCAACCGTTTCAGCCGGATTCTTGCTGTTCCAAAAAGGAAAGAACATCCCCATTTCTCCATCGTCCTCCATGTATCTATGTTGCAACTCTATAAGTGTGACAACCCCTGAAGTTTGAACCAATCAAAAGCCCCCACAAAATTCTTGTCTTGGTCAGGTCCAGACACAGGTCATCAAATATACTTCTTGTAACTCCATATCCTCATCATCCATCGAAGTTGGATAGGCTCTGAAAAAGTTAATGTATATGACTATAATCAGACTTCAACTATAAAAAATAAACTCTTTCCGCCCTGTCCACAATACCTGTCACCCAACCAAGTTAAGAACAATCGTTTTCATAAGCAAAAAAAAAAACATTGCATCACAAATTTCCACAAACTACCAAGTCCCTGAACAGTGTCGAAACACAAATGTATGGTCATTGTTTTTTGCACAGATTCAAACTCTTTTAATTTTATATGACTCGGATTCAAAACTTGAATAAAAAAGAAAGACTTTCGCACTTAACTAATCTTCCTAGAATCAATACGGAAACTTCCTAATGAATTTTCATATTTGATGCATACACTGCACATTATCCAGCATACTATAACATAGGGAAGAAAATCTTTGACCTTGCATTGAAAAAAAAAACAAAAAATCGAGCTCGAGTTAAAAAAATTAACTCGGATCATAACAATCCAAAATCTCCCACAAAAAGGAAACCCATAAACTACAAACTTCTCTCTATCCGCGAAACCAATGCAAATCTAC